TGGCAGTAAGTGTTCCAACCTGGCCCCAGAAACGGGGCATTGATATGAAATGTTATATATAATTGCATCTCTGTTAACATACTGAGATGACTCAGGGAGAGGTTTCAAAATTGTGAGGCGGTGGGTGACTAGCATCTGTCAGTAATATTCACAATAGCACCCGGTACCAAATTCAAAGTTAAGTTTTAGTGTCTAGCCTACACACCAGTAGATGCAAGCATATTAGTGCTAGGTTTGCTATGTCTTTTTTTATCAAAGGCCAAGATTCACTAAGTTTAGGCACGGTCTAGGAAAAGGACTGATCCTACCGCGCAGCGCAATCCGTTTGAGCAAAGCAATATCTCCTTCCGGAGGTATTTGTGTTTCCCTTCATTTCATGAATAGCGCAGTATAGCCATCAGGCAGGGCTAACTATCACTCTTCCTTGCAATTTTGCCTGGCACAGCAAGTTGTAGACCATCAGTCCACAATCAAGACTCTGGGGATGACCGTCACAAGAGGACTCTCATGAGCGCTTACTTAGGTACTGGTAAGATAGGATAAAATTGGTGAGGACCGATTCTTAAAGTATCTACCGAATTTGTCCCAAAGATAAAGTTTGAATGTAGAGAGAATGCATGCCATTTTTGTAATCAGAAGCGCAGTTGCTGTAAACGTTACCGCCATTTCCCGAGTTCGGTGAGCCCGATTCAGTCGTCACCATTATATTTCCCAACAATTCCGATCTGCCCTAGCAATTACGAAAGGTCGTCCCGCGGATGGTAATTTAAAGTTGGTCTTTCGCCGAGGAGTCAGTGGTTGCACTTTGAGTTTCGTTGGCCCCATGCTTTTCTCTTTCTTCTCTTGAACCATAAATGAATTCGGTATTTCGAGAATCTAGAAGAAAGCACCATCACACTAGTGGCCGCCACGCGTTCGCCTTCTGCTCATCCGAAGTGGGTCACTAATTGACAGATGCGAGTCACCTTCAATGCGACGTGAACGCGCGAACGCAACGTGGACGGCTGTACCTGCTTCTTATAAATGACTTGACGTCGATATGTACCTATGTACCTAGTATTGGACTGGGCGGACCAACGAGGCCTTTTCTCGTTGATCATCGTCGCTCGACGTACTACTGTTCTCTGCCAAGGGTTCGAGGCGGGAATCATGGATGTCGACAATTTGATCCTCCCTCAGCTGGGATATGTTCTAAAAAACGCGATTGGTAGATGCATCATCACGTTCTTTTTTTTCGGTTCGCGAGTTCCATTAGTTGAACGGAAGTACTCGAGTAGCTGTCGGTCGCTAACTATACGGTTTTATAGGTCTTTATCTCGGAGTGTCAGGACTGGTTGTATTTCTCATAGTGTAAGGATTTGCGCCCCCCAACTCGACTCGGTGATAGCCCAACTGAATTCGCCGTGTTTTTTTTCTTGACTTCAGCCGCAACGGACTTCGGAAGTTCCCTCGACAGATTGCGCTAGTGCTACAACTGTGTCTCTTGTTCAGCAGCGCCATTGCCTTCATTAGCACCTGCGTGATAGCGCTGACTGTCATCCGTACAATCTTAATTCAACCAGATGCCAGCGTTTCGCTTTTGGAAAGGGTGCTCCAATTGAAGATTCCTGGCTTCTATATCGCTATTTTTGGATGGACTGGGCTTATCAGTGTCAGTCGCTGTCATATCCTTCAACCGAATCCTTGGTCTGACGGCTTGTCTATTATTTTTCGTGACCGCGCACGATAGCTCATGGTTGGAGATGCACTGGTGATCTGGAGAGTTTGGGCGGTATGGCGTGGAAATAAACTAGCGCAGTGGATGTGGATGTTTCTGGGGATATGCAATACAGGTGAGTAAAATGAAAGCATTGCGGTCGGGTCGCCTTTACTGACTTTGTACCGTATGATAGCATTACTTCTTTTGAGTGGCATTCGAACCAGCGGCGTACTGGCATCGACTGTTGCTCAAGGTGATGCTTCCAGTCAATCTTTTCAAACGGCTTTGAGGGATAATTTTTATTTGCTATTTTCACTCACATTGAATGCCCTGGCAACGTTTGCTACTGCGTACAAAATGTCAATGATGTAAATCTCCATCTCCACTATTCCTTCTGGATACCTGCTCAATACATCGCACTCCAGAACCCACGCGACTGGCCAAGGATATTTGAGCGGGCCTGGCGAATCCCGGGCACACAGAGTGCTTTGGTTTGTGGTGGAATCCGGAGTGGTGTTTTGCATGATTCAAGTATATGGCCGAGTTTTTACTGGTGTCTACAGTCTTGAGCTGATCTTCTTATACTTAATTTTAGGCAGCATATTTCGCAATTTTAATTTCGGCTTATCTATCCAGCAGCCAATCCTTCAGCACCTCCAACACATTTGGAACATTCACAGAAATTGTGGAACCTTTTGCCAGTATGCTTCTGGTGAGTTAATTCTTGTCCGTTCCCGATTCAACCTTCTGAAATGAATACCATAGCCATTTTACCCTTCTTTAATCTTTATAGTATCTCACCTAATTGGAAAAGAAGAGGAATAATATTAATATCTTAAAACTTGAACAACGTTGCTTTTGATCAGAGGAAATATGTTGACAAGGGTATACTTGTAAAGTAAATTTCTGCAGGGGTTGTAGCTCAGCCGGGAAAACACAGTTGGCAGAGAGAAATTATATCGACATTCAGTGCTCAGCATTCATTGATTTGTGGAAATAGTCAACACCAACATGCATCTGACCAATAAAAAATAATCATCCTTGTTCTTCGTCTCCTTGCTGCTGCAAGTTTCCAAGAACCTAGAAAACCTATGAAACCTTAATTTGTCGTCGAATGGGAGAAAGAGAGTAGGTACCCAGATTGCCTCTGCAAATGCCTTTTTTGGAGTTAGATGGGAGTCTTTATATGAGCCTTCGTTGCGGACCTCTATCGGTGTCGTGGGAAAGATTCAGGTCACGACGCCGGCGGTACGCTCAGTGGTACCCGCCGCCCATCTATCTATCAACTTTATTTGCACTCCTTGTTGCCATACCCAAATCCAGGGTGAACCCCCGTTTTGCACTGAATCATTCCATCTGCCAACTCCAATCACTTGAACGCCAGCTGGTACTTAGGTTCGACGAGAATAGACAGCACTAAACTAAGACTCGGTACGCCTTTCTGCCGACCGTTCACCTGAGCGCGGCGCTGATTTCTTTTTGGTCTCTTGCCAGCCTTCCACCTTCAGGAGATGGGTCAAAAAGAAGCAAAGACATACATACGAAGGTTTGGGAGGCGACAGCTGTCAGTTAAGACATATATTCCCTGTCGGGGACGGCGCCGCTCGCGTCAAAACATTGGAATTGGAACAGACGCTGACATTTGGATTTGGAGCGCCCAGGGTCATAGGATTTAGGATTCCGGAGAATCATTGATTTCACGAACGAAAAGCCAGGAGAGGGAAAAGAGGCTGTGTGACATCCGACAGACAGTCCAGACAAGGGGTTTCAACTCAAACGTCCGCCTTCCCATCGTTCCTTCGTCCACCGTTCTTTTTCTCCCATCCGACGACGAAGGATTCATAGGTTTTCTGGGTTCTTGGACACTTGCAGCAGCGAGGAGACGAAGAATAATAAAGATATTTTTTTTGGTCGGACGCGTGTTAGCGTTGACTATTTCCACAAATCGACGAACGCTGAGCGCTGAGCGTCGAATACACATCTACACCCCAGTCATCACCATTTCAGCTCTTTCACCTTATCGACATTGCTATACACCATGTCATCTTACGATGCCTCTCTCCTAGCCTCCGCACCCCAGGCAACAAATGCCATGAAACGAGAGGGGTACGATCCGCATCTCCTCGAACAAGAGCAAAAAGCAACCGCAGCACAAGCGAGAGCAGCCAACGGAAACGGATCCGGGAGCGCCAGCGATCTAAACGCAAAAGAATACCCTCCTTATCCCCACACTAATGCCAACGACCGTGGGTTCCCCTCCGCCCGACGCCAAACCCCATTCTGGCGTACAAGGAACGGGATCATCTTTATCGTCGTCCTTTCCGCAGTCGTGTTGGCTGCGGTCATAGGAGGAGCAGTAGGCGGAACTAGACACAAAAGCCATGCCATAACCACTCCCGACCAAAACCAAACTTCTTCCGCTTCTGGCCCAGCCCCAGCTCAGAGCGTCGGATCTGCTTCTGGATCCGCTTCAGCGACTGGATCTCCCACGACGACGATCACAACTACGTTTGCTACCACTATACCGGTTTTGTCATTTAGTGGACTACAGGGTGGGCAGTCAATTACGACGACGATCACGACTACGGAGACATTGTTTGCGCCTGCTTCTACGTCGTCTTCGTCCTCGTCAGATCAAACGTCAGGGAATCAGGGAGCGTCGGGGAATGGAGATTCTGGTAATACAATTCCTGGAACAAAGCCAAACTCGCGCTCGGAGCCTAAGGTCATCAGACGATGGGGAAGAGGATGGGTAAGGGGTAAGAGGGAGAATTAGGTTGTAGGCTTCGTTTGTTGAGAGGTGAGTTGTTGATTTTTTCATGCCCTCCGTCAATGGGACTCGTTTAGCTTACTTGAAGTTTTCTTTTGTCTTCTTTTAAGACTTCGAGGCAGGAAGGGACTGTCATTATGGATATCACTCTAGTCATTATTAAACTGTTATTCTAGCTATTTTTTCTTGTTGAAAAAAACAGTGTTCTCGGTAAATGCAGTGTTTTATCTATTTTCTTTGTCTGCTTTTGCGTTATCGTTCCATTTCCGCAACTTCTGAATCGTGTTGACGTTCCGGGCTTGAAAAGCTCGAATTCTGTTCAGAACGTTCAAGGTGATGACACTGACACACAGTAAAAGACTTGTCCTGTACCTGCGAAAAGAATGGATCAAGTTGAAAAGCCTTAGAGGAGTCTTCCGGAACGTACCTATTCAAGCGGTTCTTCACAACTACAGTACATGACTACACAAAGGACTGAGCGCTGAGCAAAATTTAAAAAATCAGGACAAAAAAACAATTAATTCAATAATATGGGGGTACCGCGGATCGAACGCGGGACCTTCAGAACAACAGCCAATCTACAAGCAACTTCAGTCTGCTCTCCCAGCTGAGCTATACCCCCAACAAAAGGTTTATTCAAACCTGTAATGCTAAAGTCATTGACTAAAGGGCGTTGCCCAGACAAACTTCACATACGCTTGGCAATCTTATCTCAACCATATCAGGCTTATCGACTATGGCATGTGAATATGGCACGCCGGAAGTGGAAAATTTTCGGCCAATTGAATGATGAATTTTCGGAGCTGATCCTCCACGTGATTTTAGATAAACCTTATAAGGTTTATCTTCTATCGATTTGCTGGTCTATGTATCATTATTTGTAACACGATTCAATTGAACCGAATTTTTTCCACCTTCAGTGTGTACATGGACTGAGAACTTTTTTTTAGGTATCCTCCCCTAACCTTAACCAAGCCCTAACTAGCTAGCAGGCGGACACGCTATGCACACTGCACAATCCCTAACCAACCTAACCCAGCCTCCCGAGCGCTTATCGTTATCAGTGTGGGAACTTGTGTAAACCTTGTCCGGGCAAGACGCAGATAAATAATTCAGAACGTAATTTTCAATTTTCTTCGGAATCGCGTCTGTCGAGAGAGGAACTTGAGGGAGCGCTTGGTGATTGTTTTGCCTGCGGCACGATTATACCTTAACCTATAAATCTTGTCTTCTCCCGTTTTTATTACCTACGGCCTACGCTTTCTGAGCTATCTATATGATAGGCAGGGAAAGTTGCGGCTACTATGGATCTGGCATCAAGGAAGACCTAAGACTCGAAACAATTGGCTTCCGAATTGCATCTATTGAAGGAGGAACTTGGGAGACCCGTCCAGAGCGCGCCTGATGAATGCCACGAGTGTGGTTTGTGGTACAATTATACCTCATCCTACCGATCTGTTTCGTATTGATTGTCTATGTACCACCTACAATATCGGTGTCATTGTTGCTTACAGGATTAGCTTAGCAGTCCCAGAGCCTCTATATATATACAATCATTCCACTTAGACCGCCCTCATCCTTTTGTACTTACCTACTCGGATTGTGCATCTGTCATTGAGAATATTTATATATTTTCAAATTCCAATAGCGACTAACCTAATGTATCAAGGTACTTGAGGTAGGTGAGCGACATCCATCTTGGACTCTAGGAAACGATCTCCGCACTGCATCCATCTATCCAAGGCGGGTTGAAATTTTGCCCTTCATATCGGCATTAAACCACAGATTCGGATTGTTGTGACTTTGGATTGGGTTTCCTTCGCGGAAGTTTGCTGACTTCACCGTCGGTCATGTATACCGTATCAGTTCACTTCAGCTATTCTGCCGCTTCTACAGCCATTGAAAACGCGGAATCATGGATCTGTGCCTCATCCACCAACTAAAGTTTGACGCCGAAGGCATCAGAAATATAGAACGTGCCTCAGCGTACATTATCAAGACCACAGCAGCGCTTTTCAATTTCGGGCTTTAATTGCTCGGTTCTCATGCCACACTTCTCCCGCATTTATTATAAGATTAAGATACCGTGTACTGAGTGACTTGATCATCTCCTTCCTTCCCTCCCGCCGCTTCTCAAAGCTCTCGATCATGCAACATACTACTATTCCTACGGTGACACGACCTGAGCGTAGCTTATCTTTGGATTCTACATCCTCGACAAACACTATTTCGAGGGAATTTGAACAGTTCGCCGACATTGCACTGAAAGTAAAGGAGTACTGCCCTCGAATTCGCATCCTGGTGATAGGAAGGCGGAACGCAGGCAAAACAACGTTACTTCAGAAGGTGGCTCGTAACTCGGTGGGAACAGTGATCATTCGCAACAAAGAAGGTAAACTGGTAGGTTCCACTTTGACTTGCTCTATTCAACAATCAAGCTTACATACATCTGTCTAGGTTGACCCCGGTATCCTCGAGCCTTCAACAGAGGTAAACTGCCAAATATTATGTGGATCTGTCTCTTGACTGAAGCAACTGGATTTGGCAGCGGGGTTGTAGTCTCATTGAGAACGAAATCACTTATCCTGGGTAAAATTAGTAATACTATTTGAGTGTGGCCCAGACTAAATTCTCCTATTACAGTGACGAAGACTATGTTTTTCATGACTCCAGGGGAGTAGAAGCTGGCTTTGAAGAGGAATTGAACATTGTCAAAGAATTTATCAAAAACAAACAAGAAAAGAGATATCTCAGCCAGCGCATCCACGTCATTTGGTAAGCTTCACATCACCTACTTAACACCAGGTACAGCCTATCTTACTCTTCTTTTTCGGGAACAGGCTTTGCCTTCCAGTGGATAATGATCGCCCTTTGGGGCCAAAAGAAATGGCCTTCTTCGAACATGGGACAGAAGGAGGTTGGTTTTTAATGTTATGTGCAGAAGCCGTAGCCTGAGACTAACCGACTGCATGCAGTCCCCGTCATCGCCGTCTTTACAAAATTCGAGTGGAGAATCACCAAAGCCTTCAGCCAGTTGCGAGAAGAGGGGAAACCAGTAGCGCAGGCCAGAAGAGAAGCAGTGGTCAAAGCCATGGCGGACTTTAATAATATTCAACGCCAGCGCTTTGCCAACATGAGGTATCTGCCAGCATATTGTGTTTATTTGCGAGGTTTATGATATCACTATTATCCGTTGATTCAAGCTAACAAAATTCCAGAAATGGATAAGCCATCCGGAAACTGTGAAGAGCTTAGGGAAATTACCAGGCAGTTAGTCCAGAACGAAGTCAATCAACAGCTTTTCTCGGAAATAAAACACAGTGACATCAAGGTTACAGTGGCCATTGCGCTTGTGCAGTGAGTAGCTACTCTTTCTATCTTCCTATTCATTGCTGATTCTTCTCCACCAGTGCCATAGTCTTATCAAGCAAGATTGAACTTGCAGTCGGAGCCCACAGTCAGCTGAAGGAGTGGACGATTTTTCTGCTTTCGTTGTTTCCGCACTGGGCAAGTTAATTTTATACCGTTGTCATCGTTTTAATCACTCTGGTTGTGGACTTTATGCGTCATCAGGATGTGAGTATGCACTCTCTCTTCTGTTCTGTTTATTTTAAACATACCTTGAGCAGAATGTAAGGATTGATTTTTTGAAGATTACCAAGTAGTCTGACAAACCTCACTCTCATGATACTTCAACTTTTGCAGCATCTTGTAAGTCGTTTAAAATCATTGGCAAAGTGCATGGTTTTTATTGTCGTCTTCTATCATGTCACCTAGAAAGTAAGCTGTTTAATATACAGGGACTCAAGCATCATTCGCTATACGCTGATCTTTTTCAGGTAGTAAGTCTGTTGGCATAAGTTTACCGATCAATGTCTCCTTACATACAGCTATAATCCGTTCCCAGACTGTAAGTGATCCAACTATTCACATTATCCTCGATCCTGAACAAAAGCCATTAGCATGTGAGCATGGGTCTTGAATCTTTGACACTGATGTATCCCCGGTCTTCTAATGGCCCTCATTAGCATGTGCGCTCTTTTCTTTTGGCCCCGAGTTTTAAGGCTCAAGACTTTTGGAATGCAGTGGGTATGTCTGAAAACTTTCAGTGATCTCCCGTAGTAATGAAATATTCAATCTGTGGATCCGGTCTTGTACTAGAATGTAAGTAAACTTTTGAGCATATCATCCTCTTACATTACTGACCTAGCTTCAGTGGGTGCGTTGACACCCTCGTCAGGTAGTGATACTAAAATGATTGAGACTTGTTCCCATTCGGTAGAATGTGAGCTTTCCGAGTTTTTGACGAGTTCCAGCGGCTAACAATAGACTTGAATGGGGCCATCCAGTTCGCCGAAAAACAGTTCAAATTAGTGCGTGCTTTATGTATCAGAGGTTTATCCCTTATACACAACCGTCTCCTTAGGCTGTGAGTACATACTTCAAAGAGCCACTTGAATGACTGGACAATGAAATCCCTAAATGCCATGATAGGTCGTAAGTATTCAGCGTTATTGGTGCAACGCTGTCCGTTTTTCTTCAACTGTCTACAGGAGGTTAGCTTATCCTGCAGGTGAATATCGCCGGAAGATACTTTTTTCAGCTTGATAGTGTAACAACCCATCGACACCTTCCGTGGATCTGGTTGTGAGAGCATGTCGTTCCTGGGTAGGAGTTTCACATCCTCATTTCTGGTTTCTCAATGACTGATGCTTATTGCCAGGTGGACCCAAACTTCCGAAAAGACCTACAACTGCTCACTTATTTTGTTGGTCAGTATCTGATGCGAATAAGAAGGCTCAGCCGATCTATAACATGATACAGATGTCCTGATGATTGCGGAACACTCGTTCTGGTACGAAGATAGAAAGCCATGGGAACATATTAATCTCATCATTTCTCAATACAACCATTGCCCTCAACGGAGATCAGTACGACTAACTATCGACCAATTGTTCCAGGCGATAAACCACCCAACGTATCAGCATACAGCTTTTGGACTTGAGGGTCCTCTACAAAGTCTCAGCTTGCGGAAATTAGCCACAAAATTCACGCCCTTGTTGTTGCATCATCGGTTCCTTTCTGCGTCCCCAATGCGATCCTGTAGGCTTATTTTGTTTCATTTATATCGTTACCTGCTAAAAGGGGTATACTCAACAGAGCATATTCGAGATCTAGATTCCGTTCATGATTTTAATTATCTAATAATCTTGTATGTACTTACAATGCAAAATGATCTCTGCCACCCAGCTTGAAGTCGTGGGAAGTTGGCCTATGTGTAAAACTAAGCCGGCTTATTTGGGAGCCGCGGCAACCAAGCGGCAACATGGACTGCTGAGGGAAAGCAGACGCGCCGATCCGCCGGCTCAGGTCTCCGGTGAGCTCCAGTGAGGCCCGCTACTCGCCGATGTATCTGCAGGACGGAATCACTGTGTGCTAATTTACGAAACCCTTACTGTTCCAGAGGCAGACGAATCAGGGCGAAATATACTGATAATTATGCCATTTCTTGTTGATTGGGATGACCCGGGCTTTGTTACAGTGGGGGAAGTTGTATATTTTTGCTCGCAAGTATTTCGAAGCTCGCTCTAGATCTAACTTTAGGATCTTCAATATATCCTC